TTTGCCAGATGCCGCCGGGTTTCTTCTTCTGAGATAGTATACCTTGGGTTGATACACAGGGTGTCACCGAAGCCTGGGGCTCTCGATGAATGTCTGCAGCTAGAATCAATCTTTCTGGAGGAGGCTCTGGACCACCATGATCCCTGCATTAGTCCTACTACTAGGCCTAAGGACCCATAAGCCCCTGGCGTTCCCCTGGAGTCTGTTGAATCGGCTAAGTAACATACGCTGGCCTTTTGTGGTTTGAGATGAAGAGCGAAACCCTAATTCCCGACTCCTTTCAGAGACCAGTGTTGCGGCTTCCGTTTGGGGATGTTTGTCAGCTGCCGCTATGTTTCTTCTTCCATGATACTATACCCCTATACCCTGGCTTGGTATAATGCGTGCTATGGAGGCTCGGGGCTCCCGACGAACCTTTGCAACTACAATCAGCCATTTTCACGAGGCTCCGGACCACCGTAATCCCTGGGATGACCTCTCCCGGCACCTCCTCAGGCCGCCTCTCCGATGCCGGTCTTTGGGACGTTGCTTGCTTGCTTCGACGCTGTCTTGCGAAAGAGCAAGCAAGCAACGACGCCGCCACGAGAAGAATGTGCGTGTGTGTAAAAAAAGCCAAGTCTTCAGGAAGATTTTAAGATGTGCCATGGCTGATCAGAGACCAGTCAGTCACCTGTGACTCTGTCCTCATTCGCAGCTCTATTATTGTGAAGTCAGTGAAGCTTCTTGCAATAACGCCATTTTCTGCAGCTGGTGTTTCCGCTGGTACAATGAGGACGATGTGAGGCGTTCCACCCTTCATAACTTGAGAGGCAGGAATGCCAAGGACGAGTGGCCAGTTCTTGGCCAGGCACATTTCCATATATATAATATATATATATATATATATATATATATATATATATATATATTTATATGTATAGTATCCATATATTATGCATTTGCCAATCCCTCTGACAAGTTGCCACTTGACCTGTTGAGTCAGGCTCTGAGCCCTCACGCTAGGCGGATCTTGATTAAGCGTTCCCACACACAGGGCATAGAGTGAACTACATCGAGTCAAGTGTATGGTACAAAGATGACTCCACGACTCCGTGACTCTATCTCACTACAACTCTATGACTTTATGACTCATGACCCATGGACTCTATGACTCTTGATTCTGTGACTTTACGATCCTATACACTGACTCTATCTCACTACGACTCTATGACGCTATGTCACTGCAACTCTATGACTTTATGACTCATGACTCATGGACTCTATGACTCTTGATTCTGTGACTTTACGATCCTATACACTGGATCTATCACATAGCCCCACACTCTTCGCTGATGATGCTTTCGGGCCAATTGTCTTCTAGTGCAAGGCTACCCCCCTTCGGGTGCCTGACACCACAAATAAAGGAGCAAGCTTTGGGGCCCTGATTAGCAGGGCCGGTCGCCGTCGTGTGGCTCTGGTTTGGATCAGCAATCATAAGGAAAGCTCTGCACGTGGGCTTTGGAAGAAGCAGTGATCAGGAAAGCTCTGCTGCCGGCGAAACTGCAGGCCTCCAGAAAGTAAGGATTTCTTTATCAAACGCCTCTTAAAGAATGCGATTTCTCAAGTTCTGCAAGGCTACCCCTTTTTGGGTGCCTGACACCACAAATAAAGGAGCAAGCTTTGGGGTCCTGATTAGCAGGGCCGGTCGCCGGCGTGTGGCTCTGGTTTGGATCAGCAATCATAAGGAAAGCTCTGCACGTGGTGGTTGTGGCTTTGGAAGAAGCAGTGATCAGGAAAGCTCTGCTGCCGGCGAAACTGCAGGCCTCCAGAAAGTAAGGATTTCTTTATCAAAGGCCTCTAAAGAATGCGATTTCTCAAGTTCTGCAAGGCTACCCCTTTTGGGTGCCTGACACCACAAATAAAGGAGCAAGCTTTGGGGGCCCTGATTAGCAGGGCCGGTCGCCGTCGTGTGGCTCTGGTTTGGATCAGCAATCATAAGGAAAGCTCTGCACGTGGTGGTTGTGGCTTTGGAAGAAGCAGTGATCAGGAAAGCTCTGCTGCCGGCGAAACTGCAGGCCTCCAGAAAGTAAGGATTTCTTTATCAAAGGCCTCTAAAGAATGCGATTTCTCAAGTTCTGCAAGGCTACCCCTTCTTGGGTGCCTGACACCACAAATAAAGGAGCAAGCTTTGGGGCCCTGATTAGCAGGGCCGGTCGCCGTCGTGTGGCTCTGGTTTGGATCAGCAATCATAAGGAAAGCTCTGCACGTGGTGGTTGTGGCTTTGGAAGAAGCAGTGATCAGGAAAGCTCTGCTGCCGGCGAAACGGCGAAACTGCAGGCCTCCAGAAAGTAAGGATTTCTTTATCGAAGGCATCTTAAAGAATGCGATTTCTCAAGTTCTGCAAGGCCACCCCTTTTTGGGTGCCTGACACCACAAATAAAGGAGCAAGCTTTGGGGTCCTGATTAGCAGGGCCGGTCGCCGGCGTCCGGCTCTGGTTTGGATCAGGAATCATAAGGAAAGCTCTGCGTGTGGAGGTTGTGGATTTGGAAGAAGCAGTGATCAGGAAGCTCTGCTGCTGCGGGACAAACCACAGCCTCCAAAAAGTAAGGATTACAAGGCTAATTACCCCGTTTGGTTGCGTTTATTCACTAGCAGGACCTCTCCCCCTTTACCGAAGCCCGCCACCCCCACCCCCACCCCCATGCCTTGATGTGCTCTGCAATGTGGCTCTCAGCTCTTCCTTCGTCTCATCAGACAGTTTCTTCAGGGCATCTCGTTGTTCTCGTCTCTTCACAGTTTTTTTCATGCGGTTTGCTCTCAGCTTTTTAGCCTCATCAGTGATGTTCTTCTCATACTCAGCCAATGACCGTCTCATGTCCAGCGGCAGCTGATATTGGGCGGCTTGTTGCCATTCAGGCTCATCAAGTTCATGATCAGGGTCATCCAATTCGATGACGGCATCTGCCTCAGTTTTCCGTGCCTCATCGTAATGCCAATGGACAAAGTCGCTGAGATCTTTTGCTCCGTCCACTCTTGCCCAATTCGGCGGACTCACGATGCCCTCATCACTCAAATGCAGGAAGCGGTTCTTGAGCCATCTCTCATCAACTCGTTTGCAGCCCAATCGCATGCCTTGTGCCCATGGCTGATCATCACATTTCTTGAGCTTTCCCGTCTCATCTGGCCGCAGTGCCAACCATCCATTCCTTCTCAAGCCGGCCAAAACCCAGTTTGTTTCCTCATTCAATTTGATCATGTGTTCCATGGCCTCATGGAGGGCTTTCGCCATCTCACGGATGCCCAGTTTCGTAAACGACTCATGCATCGGCCCATCCCTCGCATTTGTGCCTGGCTCATGCCGCCGGTGTTGCTCATCCAGGCTTCTTCTCACGGCAGCCTTGAAGGCATGGCTAAAGTCCGTGTCCGTGAGCTGAAGCAATGATGTCATCTTCGGCAACACTAATGATGGGATCTGATGGCTCAGGAACATGGATCTCATGCTCGGCTCACTGAATGCAGGTCCATAGCAGTCCCTCATCCATAAGGACATGGGGTACTCAGCTGCGGACTCCATGATCGCCCATGGAAGCAGTACACCATCCGTGTTCGATGCTGGCTGACTCATGACGTTGAAATGCGTCAGCAGCTCAGGCGACTCACTTCTCAACTTTCTCCATGCCCCCAATGTCCTTCCAGCGCTCATTCCCTTCCTGGTCTTTCGTTTAAGAGCCCCGGGTAATACATGATTTAGAACTTTCAGATTCGTAGTTCCACACGAAGAAAATGATTGAATGCAGCTCAATACTTCTCAACACTGACACCAAGTTTCTTATGCATCCGGTCTTGCCCATTGTAATGGAATCGCTCATCCCGAATCCAATTGCCTGTTTCATCGACGGTTTAATTAGTTAGGGTTTAACTAGGATTAAGTCGGGCTTGGGGGTTAAGGGTTTAGGGGTTAGGGTTTCTCATCCCCGATCCAGCAGCCTCGCTCATCAATGTTGGCCAAGTTCCCATGGGAGCCAGGCACAATCAGAGTGCCTCTGATCACATGGCCCGTGGGGTCTTTCTCAGGATCAAACCATGAGCTCACCAGCTGATTCGCCTCAAAGGTGACCCGAAAGCGATCTGACTTTTCCTCACGCCTCGAAGTCAAGTGCTTTCGCTGCTCATCACTGCCGGGCTTCGCCAACTCCCATGTGTCATGCGGCTGGTCCTCATGCGGCTGGTCCTCATGCGGCTGGTCCTCATGCGGCTGGTTTGGTGCGTCATGCGGCTGCTCCTCATGGTTTGGTTCGTGCTCATCGGCCAACATCTCGAATGCAGGCCCAGTGCTCATCTTCCTCTTCTTAGTGGGGACTTCCCACCCAGCGAAGACCTCACGACGTGAAGACTTCTTAAGCCATAGGGGCACCTGATCGCTGAATCCCATGACACATCTCTTTCTCACCTCAGGCGTCACCTCGCTCATCTTGGCGCAAAACTTCCGCAGCTCATCGTCGCCCCGGCTGATGATGCTCATCAAGTAATCATGGTATTGCCATGAGAGCTCAGCCCTGACTTGCATCTCAACTTCGCTGATCTGGGTGATCAGGTTCGGCACTCTTATGGACGCACCCAACCATCTCGCCAAGATTGCCCCTCTCTTATCGGCTGATTTGGAAGTGCTCATGATCACTTTGTGCTGGCTCATGGCCTGCTTCATGGGTTTAGGGCTTAGGGTTATGGTTCAAGTTTTACTTGAGCTTTGGGATACTAAATTAATTGCCTATTTCAGGGTTCCTGATGACACTTTATAGTGCTTAAAGCTCAAGGTCTAGGTTTAGCGCTTGAGTTTAGTTCAGGGGATTGAAATCCAAATACGATAATCTAACTGATTCTTGGGTTTAGGATTTTATGAAGGGTTTGAGGGTTTAAGCTTCAGGGCTTCATTAGGGGTTTTAGGATTTGAGGTTTAGTGAAAGTTTCCATGGTTCCTCGCCTTGTCTCGCTTCAACTCATAGGCCTTTCGGTCAGCGACACTCAAGTCCTCATTCTCCAGCAGGGTGGACAGCTCATCAGCCCTCACTTTGAGGAATGACCCATAGGTCATGGCCAAATGCTTTGCCAGGACCACATCCCCATGCGACCTCTCCTTATCCAGCCAGTGCCTCACCTTCTCAACCAGCTCAGGAAATTCCCTCTTGGTGCCTCCTCCCACTCGTCTCAAGCGAGCCTTTGCTCCCTTCATCTCATTGGCCGAGGCATTGGCTCTCCCATGCTGGCTCATCTTTGCCCATTCGGCTCTGTTTGCCCATATCTCTTGCAGCCGATCTTTTCTGATGCTTTTGGCCCGGGAAAACTCATCAAGCATGGAACTCTCGTTGGGAAATCTCAGCCGCTGCTCATACATCTCTTTGCAGATGGCATGCTTCATGCTTATCGCGATCTCAAACTGACGTGGTTTCTCATTCTTGGCCCTGCGGTTGGTTTTCCTTCCGCCCAAGACTCCTCTGAGCTCATTCGAGGATTTGATCGGCCGCCCTCGACTTGCAGTGCTCTTTCTCATCGACTCATGAACACTTCTCATGTTCTCAGCGGTCAAGCTCAACCGCTGACCACCCACACTCAGCTCACCTCTCCGCAGCATGCCTCTTATGGTATCTTCCATGCTCATCCTATTCGTCTTTCTGGGAGGCGCCTCAGGATATTCCTCCAGGTCTGCCAGCGGAGAGCCCACGGGAGAGCTCATGCTCTTGTCTGATGCTCCCGCCGGCGACCAGAATCTCATTAGGCCAACTTGCCTCATGCTCTTGTCTGAAGCTGATGAAGCCTCTGATCCGAAGCTCAGCTGTCGCCTCACCGGAGTCACGACAAGCACCTCATGCGGTGCATGCTTGACAGGAGTCATGACTTGCAAGTCATCATCCGAAGCCTCATTTGCCGCAACAAGCTGGCTCCCTTCCTCAGCAGTCCCAATGTGCTGCTCATGATCAGCCTCCTCATCCTCTTCTTGCTCCTCCTCTTGATTTTGTGTCTCATCATCGGCAGCCAGTGAGTCATCAACAGCCATGCTGTCATCAACGGCATCCTCCCCATCAGCAGGCTTCTCCTGCTCAAGATCTGTCTGCTCATCATCGCGCCCAGGCCTTTCCTTCGAGGCAGCCTCCTCATGAACGGCATCCTCCCCATCAGCAGGCTTCTCCTGCTCAAAATTTGTCTGCTCATCATCGCGCCCAGCCCTTTCCTTCCAGGCAGCCTCCTCATGAGCGGCATCCTCCCCATCAGCAGGCTTCTCCTGCTCAAGATCTGCCTGCTCATCTTCGGGCACAGGCTTTTCCTCAGAGACAGCCTCCTCATTCGTCGCTTCTAGGTCTACATCGCTTGTCTCTTCCATCGTCTCATGTGTGTCCGATCGCTGAGTCTCACCTCCTCCTCCTCCTCTCATCTTCATCATGGCACTCCAATGCTGTCTCTGCTGTTCTGCCTGATGTCAGGAAAAAAATAGCCGCACCACTATAAAATCTAAGTCTGTGTATGTATGTTAACTATGCATGTGTAACTATCTATGTCAAGTAAGCATGTGTAACTATCTATGTCAACTAAGCATGTGTAACTATCTATGTCGACTATGCATGTGTAACTATCTATTGAATCGAACTCGAAAGGAGCAAGCTCTGGGGTCCTGATTAGCAGGGCCGGTCGCCGGCCTGTGGCTCTGGTTTGGATCAGCAATCATAAGGAAATGTGCATGTACACCACAAATAAAGGAGCAAGCGTTGAAATCCTCATTAGCAGGGCCGGTCGCCGGCGTGTGGGTCTGGTTTGGATCAGCAATCATAAAGAAAGCTGTGCATGTGGTGGTTGTGGAAAGTTCTGCTGCCGGCCAAACCGCAGGCCTCCAGAAAGCATTGATTTCTTTATCAAAGGCCTCTCAAAGAAAGCGATTTCTCAAGTTCTGCAAAGCTACCCCCCTTTGGGTGCCTGACACCACAAATAATTAAAGGAGCAAGCTCTGGGGTCCTGATTAGCAGGGCCGGTCGCCGGTGTGTCCGGTCGGAAGGTGCCTCTGGCTTTGCAATCAGCAATCATCAGGGAAAGCTCTGCATGGGGGAGTGGTTGTGGGTTTGGCAAAAGCAATGATCAGGAAAGGTCCGCAGGCCTCAAGAAAGTAATGATTTCTTTATCAAAGGCCTCTCAAAGAATGCGATTTCTCAAGTTCTGCAAGGCTACCCCCCTTTGGGTGCCTGACACCACAAATAAAGGAGCAAGCTCTGGGGTCCTGATTAGCAGGGCCGGTCGCCGGTGTGTGCGGTCGGAAGGTGCCTCTGGCTTTGCAATCAGCAATCATCAGGGAAAGCTCTGCATGCGGGAGTGGGTGTGGGTTTGGCAAAAGCAATGATCAAGAAAGTTCTTCTGCCGGCCAAACTGCAGGCCTCAAGAAAGTAATGATTTCTTTATGAACGGCCTCTCAAAGAATGCGATTTCTCAAGTTCTGCAAGGCTACCCCCCTTTGGGTGCCTGACACCACAAATAAAGGAGCAAGCTCTGGGGTCCTGATTAGCAGGGCCGGTCGCCGGTGTGTGCGGTCGGAAGGTGCCTCTGGCTTTGCAATCAGCAATCATCACAGAAAGCTCTGTATGGGTAAGTGGTTCTGGGTTTGGCAAAAGCAATGATCAGGAAAGTTCTTCTGCCGGCCAAACTGCAGGCCTCAAGAAAGTAATGATTTCTTTATCAAAGGCCTCTCAAAGAATGCGATTTCTCAAGTTCTGCAAGGCTACCCCCCTTTGGGTGCCTGACACCACAAATAAAGGAGCAAGCTCTGGGGTCCTGATTAGCAGGGCCGGTCGCCGGTGTGTGCGGTCGGAAGGTGCCTCTGGCTTTGCAATCAGCAATCATCACAGAAAGCTCTGCATGGGGGAGTGGTTGTGGGTTTGGCAAAAGCAATGATCAGGAAAGTTCTGCTGCCGGCCAAACCGCAGGCCTCCAGAAAGTAATGATTTCTTTATCAAAGGCCTCTCAAAGAATGCGATTTCTCAAGTTCTGCAAGGCTACCCCCCTTTGGGTGCCTGACACCACAAATAAAGGAGCAAGCTCTGGGGTCCTGATTAGCAGGGCCGGTCGCCAGTGTGTGTGGTCGGGAGGTGCCTCTGGCTTTGCAATCAGCTATCATCAGGGAAAGTTCTGCAGGGGGGAGTGGTTGTGGGTTTGGCAAAAGCAGTGATCAGGAAAGTTCTGCTGCCGAAACCGCAGGCCTCCAGAAAGTAATGATTTCTTTATCAACGGCCTCTCAAAGAATGCGATTTCTCAAGTTCTGCAAGGCTACCCCCGTTTGTGTGCCTGACACCACAAATAAAGGAGCAAGCTCTGGGGTCCTGATTAGCAGGGCCGGTCGCCGGTGTGTGCGGTCGGAAGGTGCCTCTGGTTTTGCAATCAGCAATCATCACAGAAAGCTCTGCATGGGTAAGTGGTTCTGGGTTTGGCAAAAGCAATGATCAGGAAAGTTCTGCTGCCGGCCAAACCGCAGGCCTCCAGAAAGTAATGATTTCTTTATTAAAGGCCTCTCAAAGAATGCGATTTCTCAAGTTCTGCAAGGCTACCCCCCTTTGGGTGCCTGACACCACAAATAAAGTCTGGGGTCCTGATTAGCAGGGCCGGTCGCCGGTGTGTGCGGTCGGAAGGTGCCTCTGGCTTTGCAATCAGCAATCATCAGGGAAAGCTCTGCAGGGGGGAGTGGTTGTGGGTTTGGCAAAAGCAGTGATCAGGAAAGTTCTGCTGCCGGCCAAACCGCAGGCCTCCAGAAAGTAATGATTTCTTTATCAAAGGCCTCCTTTAGAATGCGATTTCGCAAGTTCTGCAAGGCTACTATCCTTTGGGTGCCTGACACCACAAATAATGGACCAAGCTCTGGCAGAGCTTGATGCGTGCAGATCAGCGACTTCTCAAAGCTTGATAGCTGCAGATCAGCGACTTCTCAGAGCTTTACACAAGCAGATCAGCGATGTCGCAGAGCTTGGAACCAAGTTGATTGGCGACTTTGCAGAGCTTGATGCGTGCAGATCAGCGACTTCTCAGAGCTTCAAAGCTGCAGATCAGCGACTTCTCAGAGCCTTAAACAAGCATATCAGCGATGTCGCAGAGCTTGGGACCAGGTTGATTGGCGACTTTGCAGGGCTTGATGTGTGCAGATCAGCGACTTCTCAAAGCTTCATAGCTGCAGATCAGCGACTTTTCAGAGCTTTGGACAAGCATATCAGCGATGCCGCAGAGCTTGGAACCAAGTTGATTGGCGACTTTGCAGAGTTTGATGCGTGCAGATCAGCGACTTCTCAGAGCTTCATAACTGCAGATCAGCGACTTCTCAGAGCTTTAAACAAGCATATCAGCGATGCCGCACAGCTTGGAACCAGGTTGATTGGCGACTTTGCAGAGCTTGATGCGTGCAGATCAGCGACTTCTCAAAGCTTCATAGCTGCAGATCAGCGACTTCTCAGAGCTTTACACAAGCATATCAGCGATGTCGCAGAGCTTGGAACCAGGTTGATTGGCGATTTTGCAGGGTTTGATGCGTGCAGATCAGCGACTTCTCAGAGCTTCATAGCTGCAGATCAGCGACTTCTCAGAGCTTTAAACAAGCATATCAGCGATGCCGCAGAGCTTGGAACCAGGTTGATTGGCGACTTTGCAGGGTTTGATGCGTGCAGATCAGCGACTTCTCAGAGCTTGATAGCTGCAGATCAGCGACTTCTCAGAGCTTTAAACAAGCATATCAGCGATGCCGCAGAGCTTGGAACCAGGTTGATTGGCGACTTTGCAGAGCTTGATGCGTGCAGATCAGCGACTTCTCAGAGCTTCATAGCTGCAGATCAGCGACTTCTCAGAGCTTTAAACAAGCATATCAGCGATGCCGCAGAGCTTGGAACCAGGTTGATTGGCGACTTTGCAGGGTTTGATGCGTGCAGATCAGCGACTTCTCAGAGCTTCATAGCTGCAGATCAGCGACTTCTCAGAGCTTTAAACAAGCATATCAGCGATGTCGCAGAGCTTGGAACCAGGTTGATTGGCGACTTTGCAGAGCTTGATGTGTGCAGATCAGCCGGTCGCCGGTGTGTCCGGTCGGAAGGTGCCTCTGGCTTTGCAATCAGCAATCATCAGGGAAAGCTCTGCATGGGGGAGTGGTTGTGGGTTTGGCAAAAGCAATGATCAGGAAGGCTCCGCAGGCCTCAAGACTGGATGGTATTGACTGCACTACTGGTCATTGCTGCACTACTGCCAATTACCACACTGCTGCCAATTGCTGCACTACTGCCAAATACAGGTGTTGTGGAAGTGTTGTGGATGTGTTGTGGAAGTGTTGTGTGGGTGTTGTGGAAGTGTTGTGGAGTGTTGTGGAAGTTTAATGGAATGGGGATTGTGAAAGTGTTGTGGAAGAGTTAAACCTCACCCCAGCAAAGATCGTCAGGGACAGGCAATGATCTTGTCCGTGCATGGCTGGCTTTTTGTGCACGTCCTCTCATATTGCTGTTTGTGTGTTACTGGCTGAAACTGGCTGATCCTGGCTGATACTGGCTGATACTGATCCTGAATGATATTGGCTGATCCTGGCTGAAACTGGCTGATACTTGCTGATGCTGGATGGTATTGACTGCACAACTCGTCATTGCTGCACTACCGCCAATTACCACACTACTGCCAATTGCTGCACTACTGCCAAATACAGTGGGTGTGGGAGAGAACTCATCAGGGCATCCCTTCTGGCGGCTCCGGAGACATGAACAAGACCCTTCGTTCGTCCTGCTGCCCAGGATCTGTCGCGCTTCCGAAGCAAACCAGCTCAGCATCTTAACCACTAGACCATTAAAAACCCTACTTCCCTGCGGTTTGCGCTGATCTACCCGTAAAGGTAAGTCTTTTGATCTAAGGCTCGGGCAACAAGCCCAATCCTTAACCACTGAGCCAAAATTGGTTTTGCAGCTCTGCCCGGCAGCTTTATCCTAGAAAGGTCGGCTCAGGTGTGAGGTTATCTGGCACAAATCAACACATCAAATCTATTACGGAACATGATTCATCGTT